TGGCTACCGGCACGCCGGGAGGCTGGACTAGGAAGAAAAACAACTCCTGAGAAACCAAGGAGGCCCCCCCATGGGGCAAACGGGGCAGGGCAGGCTGCTGGGGGCTGCAGGCATGTGGGAGCATGGGGAACGAGGTGGCTGCTCTGGCTCCATCCCACTCTGTGCTGCATGGCACCAGTGTGTGCTGGCTCTGCTCTGCCGGGCCCAGTGGCACTGCCCCCATGGCTGAGCTGGGAGGGGAGCTGCAGGCACAGGGGGCATTGGCAGGGCCCACACAGCCCAGGAAGCACCAGCCAGGGTGTGAGGAGCCACTCGCACACACATCCCCATCACATTAAGGGCAGGTTGGCTTCTCTTTGTCCTGCAGCTGGGGACAGCACGGGGGGCACTGAGGGAGACAGGAACAGCCAGCACCGATTTGTCACAGTCAAATTTTGTCAAAGCTGTCCCACTTCCTTCTCCATCCGGCTGCTGGTGTTTGCTGTCAAGGAGGCAGAAAGCCCTTGGTCTGAGCAGGGCTGGTGATGCTGCCTCAGATGCTGCTCGTGGACGGCAGCAGAGGAGGTGCAGAGGTGGCAGTTCCCATCACTGTGTCACTGGGGACCTCAGTGGTGGGGCAGAGAGGTTGCTTACTGATGGCTGCAGTTGACACCAAAGAGCACCAGAGGCCAGAATGGGATATCAAAATGGTATTGACAGGGTTGAAACACCTTCTGGGAGAACAAGACTCTTGCCCAGAAGGGCAAATACAAATGTCCCTGCCTTTAGCTGGGATACCAGACTCCGGGCAGCAGCCTTTGCTTCCCGCAGACCACAGAGGATGGCTGGATGGGCAGCTGGATGGCACGCCTAGGGCTGAGCAAGCTGAAGCCCACCCACTGTCACCATAACACACGGCCGCAGTGCAGGATGAGGCACCACAGCCTGGGGCAGGAGCTCCCACGGGAAGGTCAGCACAGAGCCCAGGCGATGCTCGAAGGACCAGCAGGTGGGAGAAAATCAACCCAGAGGCACAAGTTCAAGGCCGGTGGAACATGACTGTCCCCTTGCAAGATGTGGGAAGTTACCCCGTGTTGGTGCAGTGCTGGGCAGGCAGTGGCTGGCTGGGGTGGGAAGGGCATGGCCATAGTCTGTTCTTCATGTCCAGGGGGACAGGAACAAGTCCTAAACTGCAGCAGGGGGACAGAAATCCCAGTTGGATACTAGGAAAACCCATCTCCACAGTCTGATGAGACCTGGGGCTTGTCTGGGGGTGCTGGGGCATCCCTGGGGATCATCAGGGGGCCCCAAGGGGGACAGGATCCTGAGGAGACCACCACAACAGCAGAGCATCAGGGCCCCACATCCTGTTCTCTGGTGCTGTCAGGGGGGAAGAGCTGGGCCCCTACCTCCCCTCCTCAATCCGGCTGCTTGTTGCACTACATTTATTGTCCATAAAGTGGAGCTGGCACCTCTGAAGGGTTACCACAGAGCTGTGCGCAGCCAATGCTGTCCCTTGTCCCTTTGCACGCACCAGGGTGGCCCTGTCCCACGCCGGCAGCGATGCTCGCAGCCCCGTTTACCAGAACCCCGTGGAGGCCGCGAGCTGCCGGCTCGCTGCTTCCCCTCTCACCCCAAGGCTTGGTCATTCTGTGTCCTGGATCATTCTGGCTCCTGGGAGACCTGCTCCGCTGCAAACGCCCTGCTGGCATTTGTCCTTCAGTGCCATCCCGGCACGTCCCACAGCAGCGTGGGCCCACGTTGGTGGCTGGTGATGTGCTCGCCTGGCCAGCACATCCTGAGTATGCAGCCAGGGAGGAGACGGCGCAGTCCTGCTGCGGCGAAGGGGCTCTCAGGAAGGGGCACTGGTGTTCGGCCACTCAGGCCCGGGGCAGGGACACGCAGCCCCTCATCCCCACAGCACTGTCCCAGCAGGCCTGGGGCCAATGTCGCCCCTCTGTGCGGTGCCAGCGCGGCCTCACGCCTCCTCGGCGGTGGCATCGATCCCCGCGTAGGTGAAGTTCTCAAACAGGGCCATGTTCACGTAGGCCTGTGGAGGAACCCCAGTTAGGAGCCAGTTGTGACAGTGTCCCCATCTACCTCCTGTCCCCACTGGCACACTTACAGGCACTGTGCCCTGGGGCAGAGGTGATGGGGCTCCCCACACCCAAAAAGTGATGCTGGGGTTACCACCATGCACAGTGGGGTCATGCAGGTTCTGCTGCTGGATGAGCCCAAAGGATGCTCCAGCATTTGGACAAGCCCCGTGCGGGGTGGACATCCCTGCCACCAAGCTGGGGTGACACGAACACCACCATCACTCACCTTCCTGGCCTCCAGCATGCGGATGAGCTGCATGGAGATCTGGGCGAAGGGTGGGCGCTCGTAGGGGCGGTCGCGCCAGCACTGCCGCATCAGCTCGTACCTGGGGGCAGAGAGCCAGCGGTGGCTCAGCGTGCACAGAGGGAGAAAAAGCTGCTTCTGGGAGATGAGGGGGAAGCAGGCAGGAAACTAAAGCCTGGGGAGGGTGTCTGGGGTGTGGGACCTCAGCTCATCCCCTAGCCACGGTGCAGCGGGGAAGCAGACAAGAGCGACCACGGTTGGGTGGGAGCCCCCCTGGGCAGCGGGGTCAGGAGGATGTGGGTGCCACCATCAATGGGGGCTCTCTGCCCACTTACACCTCGTCATCGCAGTTGCGTGGCTTCTCCATGCGGTAGCCCTGGGGCAGCTTCTCATAGAGCTCAGCGCACGTCATCCCGCAGTATGGTGTCCCCCCTGCAGCCAGAGACACACAGCTGGCTGCAGTGGGGACGGTCCCCAGGTGTCCCCTCAGGAGCTGGAGGAGGACGAGACCTGCAGGGACCCGAGTGGAGGCAGGGGACACAGAAGAGCCTTACCCAAGCTGACGATTTCCCAGAGCAGGACGCCAAACGACCACCTGAAAGTGCAGAAGCCAAGGCTGTGACAGGGCCCCCAGCTGCACCCCACTGATGGGCATGGGGTGAAGCCCAGGGTGGAGTGGGCCGAGCCAGCAGCTCACCCAGGAGATGCACTGGCATTGCCTCTTGTTCTTGTAGGAGCAAGGGCATCCCAGCACCAACAACCCCAGGGGCACAGGAGACCCAGAGAGGGATGGAGGCGGCCCCAGCCATGCTCCAGACCCCAATGCCTGTGCCTGCAGGACTTACACGTCACTCTTGGTGGTGTACACGCTGTAGTTCAGGGACTCAATGGCCATCCAGCGAACTGGCAAGCGGCCCTGGGGAAACAGAGAGTGGCCGTCAGGAGAGGGGGACATCCCCACCACCAGCTGGTCCTGGCACAGTGGGGTATTCCCATTGCCAAGGGGTGCTGCCCACCGCATTGGTGCAGGCCCCATGGAGATGTCTCTCTCCTGCCTCACCATTGTCTTCTTCACATAGACCTCTTCTCCTCTGGAGAGGCCGAAGTCAGCAATCTTGGAGGCCAGGTTTTCTCCCACCAGGATATTCCTGGCTGCCAGGTCCCTGTGAATGAACTGCAAGGGGCCAGCAGTCAGCAGGAGCCACATGCACCCTCCTGCTGGCCCCTGGGGTCTTGTGCACTGCTAGGGAGTCCCCAGACCCCTGGGAAAGGATGCTTTGGGGGGGTTTGCTGGGGATGTACCTGCTTCTCACTCAGATACTGCATCCCCTTGGCCACATCCGAAGCAAACTGGAGGAGCTGCTGGGAGGTGAGGGTGGAGGCAGTGCCGTGCTCCTTGGCAAAGGCTGGGTCCGTCTCCAGCACTCGGCTTTTGCGGAGGAAGTCGAGGAGGTTTCCATAGGGAGCGTACTCGATGGCGATGTACAGGTAGCCTGGAGGGTAGGAGGAGGTTGGGCTCGTGGGACTTTCCTCAGCAAAGAGGAATACACAGCGGGGCAAGAGCCATGGGGCTGGGGAGAGGGGAACAGCCCTCACCTTTGTTCTCACAGGCACCCAGCAGGTTGATGATGTTGGGGTGATGGCCCAGCTTGCACAGCACCTCCAGCTCCCCAGCAAAGTCCCGATGGTCGTTCTCCGAAGCAAACTCTGGAAGCAAAGCAGGGATGGATACCTCAGTCCTTCAAGAAAGGCCTTTCCTCTGCTCCTCTACCGATAGCTCCTGCCTCCTCCCTCCTCAGCCCTGGGCACAGCTGCATCCCCCAGCCCACCCTGCCCACCTCCCCCCATGCTCACCTTTCAGCATCTTGATGGCTGCGTTCATTTTCAGGCCGTCCTTTTTGATCATGGCCCTGATGACCTGCCCGAAGTTGCCCTCCCCGATCATGTCCTCAAACTTGATGTCTTCCCACTCCAGGATGGGGTAGCTGAGGGGCTCGGGCTGCGGCTTGGGTCGACGTGTCAGGGTCAGGGTCCCCGAGTTGAACTGCAGGATGGTCTCTTCCCCCTGGCAGATGGGAGCGGGTGAGGTTTTAGGCACCGGGCACCCCTCTGCCCGCGGGCAGGTGTTGTGGGCAAGGGCGGGCTCCGCACCCTCTCCATGTGGAAGTGAGGTCTGGCTGCATCTGGACTGGAGGCTACGGAGCGTGACCTGGATCGGGACAGGACGTGGGGAGCTGGGGACACAGTCCTGGCGGGGCAGGCAGCACTCACCGAGCCAGACTGGTATGTAAAGGTGCGGCGCCGTTCTTGAGGAGGAAAAGCGCCAGGAGGGCAAAGAGGATGGTGAGGCAGGTGACGGACACGGAGCCGACGATGGCCAAGAGCAGCTGCTGGTCTATTCCTGCCTGCTCCGTGCTCTGGCTGCCCAGGCTGGGTGGGACGCTCAGCGCTCCTGCCAAGAGGAGGGATGGGGGTCATGGTACACGGCTGAGCCCTGCCCAGGCTGCATGGGTGGCCAAACACAGAGCCTGCAGCTCTTTCCCAACACCCTGGGACGCCATGAGGACACCATAGCGGCATCCATGGTGGCTCAGGGGTGAGGGTGGCACCGCTTGGGCCCTACCACCAAACCTGCTGGTTTCTGGACCTCCAACCAACTCTGGGTCCAGCCATTGGCTCCTTATGTGCTGGCTCTGCCCTGCTCCTCTAGGCCCTCACACACTATCACAGAATCCCAGAATGTGAGGAGATGGAAGGGACCTGCAAAGCTGATCCAGTGCAACCCCTGCCACAGCAGGATCACCAGAGGAGTCACACGGGAACACAGCCAGGGCTTTGGGTGTCTCCAGAGAAGGAGACTCCACAACCTCTCTGGGCAGCCTGGGCCGTGCTCCAGAACCCTCACACTCACAAAGTTTCTCCTCATCTTCAGCTGGAACCTCCTGTGCTCCAGCTTGGGACCATTGCCCCTTGTCCTGGCATTGGCCATCCCAGAGCAGAGCCTGGCTCCTTCCTCCTGACACTGCCCTTTCCCAATGGATCCCCAGGAATGAGGGCACCCCTCAGTCTCCTCTGCTCCAAGCTCCAGAGCCCCAGCTCCCTCAGCCGCTCCTCAGCAGGAGATGCTCCACTCCCTGCAGCATCTTTGTGGCCCTGCTGGACTCTTTCAAGCAGTTCCTGTCCTTCTTGAGCTGAGGGCCCAGAACTGAACACAATATTGCAGATATGGTCTTACCATGGCAGAGTAGTCACCCTCTGGCCAAGGCAGAGGTGCTCTGTGAGTGCCACCATGCCACCCCTACCCTGTCAGGACTAGGAGGAGCAGGATTGCTGAAGATGCTCATAAGTGCTTTGGGTTTGGGCTACTGCTTCAGAGCTGCTCCGGTCGCTCTTTGCTGACCCAGATGCTGAGCTCAAGCTCCAGCAGAGCCATGAGCCTGCGATCTGCTGGGACACCCCACTCACCATCCCCCAGGGTCCTGGCTTTCACGGGCTGGCTCCACTCCCCTGGGACATGGGAGTTGGCCCGAACACGAAACTGGTAGCTGGTGCTGGCGTTGAGACCCCCGACGATCTTGGTGGTCTCGGCGCCGCTGTCGGTGTCGATCCACTGGGGCTCGCTGGTGCCCCCCACCTGCTGCAGCTCCACGATGTACTTGGTGATGCCCCCATTGGGGTACTCAGGGACCTGCCAGGAGAGCCTGACGGCGGTGTCGGACACGGCCTCTGCTGAGGGCGAGCGTGGGGAAGAAGGCCCTGGGACAAGGAGAGGAGAGCGTCAGCCCCAGGATGGGGCTTCTGGTGCTGCAGAGGCTGAGTGCTGCCTGGACGACCTGACCCCATGGATGGCAATGGCAACCAAAGCTGTGCCAGGTTTGAGGGACTTCCAGGGTCACCTGGCCCTTAGGTGGAGGCAGAAGGAGCTGGACATGGACCCTGGGGCTGGGAGCGCATTGCTGGGTACAGTGGGGCAGGACTGCACCCACAAACGCTCACAGCCTCAGGGATCGTCATGTCTCTGTACTAACTAGCTCTTGGGATATTTTCCTTCTTCAACCCTCCTTCACACACAGCAGGTTATGAGTGTCTTGTCATGCCCATCATCTCCTCTCAGTCTTCTCCATCCTGCTCACATGCCTAACTCCAAATCCCCAAACCACACAAAGCTCTCACAAGCAGCAAGCGGAGAAACCCTCACATCCTCCAAGCCTGATGCCCACCAGCCCTCCCAGTGCCCAGTGGCCAGCATGGAGCCTTGCTGAAGGACTCGTGCACTCCTTCCCCTTTGGCTCCCAGAAACGTTGGTCAGGATTATGCTCCACCTCACCATGGTCTTCCATTCGTGCGGAGGTCTGCATGTGTGTTCATGCCTGCAGGAGGGGCTGCAGATCTCCCCAAGCCCCAGTCACTATCCAGCAAAATTACCAGGCAGTGAGGTTAAAGCAAATCAAGGAGAGAGAAATTTTTCTTGGGATGTTTCTCAGCTGCTTGGTGCTGGAGACTGCAGGATCTAGCGGGGAAATGAGGACTCATTTCCCCCCAAGCAGCTGTTCATGTGCTATCTGGGGTACAGAAGCAGCTGGACCTGGGGGTGGTTACTGTTACATTTATAACTGATTTATGACTGTAATTCCCTGTGTTAATTCCCTGTGCGCTGCCAGACCCACCTTTGCTGTTGATCATGACCTTGTAGAGGTCAGAAGGGGGTCCCAGGCTGTTGCAGTGGTAGACCAGCACCTCCAGCCCATACTCCTTGTTGAACTCCAGGTCCCCAATGCGGGCAGAGAGCACAGAGATGGACGTGATGTTTTTCTCACACACCAGCCGCTTCGCAGAGTCAAAGAGGTGGACGATGAACCCGTGTGCTGGCTCATGACTACTTGGCAATTTCCAGTTGACATGAAGCGTGTTTTTCTCCTCTATGGACCAACCTTCGATCACAGGCTTGACTGTGGGCTCTGTGAACAAAAAGGTAGCAAAACCTCATGCACAAGGCTAGGGTCAGTGTTAGGGTCAGGGTGTGGGTGATGGAGATGAGGGCTCACCAAGGCACTCGGTCACCATGATGGCCTCAGGCCCCTTGCTGCCCTCCCCACCATCCCCTGGCCGGCTCAGCTGCACCTTGACGACGTAGGCAGTCACCGGCCGGAGGTTCATGAGGGTGATGTTCTCGCTGTTGTCGACTGTTGGACAAGAGAACAAGTCAAAGCCGTGCCCATGACCCACACTGCCTTGCCACTGTCGTCCTCCTCAGCATCACTGCAGGGGTCCCCAGATGGAGACCTCTGCCCACCCCAGACCTCCACTGGCTGGTGCAGGTCCTACCTGTGACCCTCCTGCCCCAGCAAACACGTACCCACAATAGATGACCAAGCTGAGGTGTCGTCCTTGGGCTTGTAGAGGAGCTTGATGGAGACAATGGGTCCGTCACCGGAGAAGCAATCCACGGGTGACACCACGAGCTGGCGGCTCTGCTTGGCCAGCAGCCGGGGAGGACTCAAGGGCGCTGGTGGCACTGGGGGGGAAGGAGGGAATGACACTGGTGGGACTGTGAACAATGAGGAGCAGAGTGTGGGGACATCCACCACCTCTTGTCTCCTTTCAGCTTTGTCAGGGAAGTCTTTTATCATCACCCACACCCATCTGCTGGCACTGTAGCACAGATGGGTGCCACCCAGTCCAGTGAGCAGTGGAGGTGGCATTGCCCTACCCTGCTGTCAGCAGCCCCAGCTCGTCCCACTTGTCCCACCACCCTTTCCTCACCTCGGATGTTGACCTTGACTTTCCGGCTGTCCTGGCCCCCAGTCGTGGAGACCCGGCACTCCCAGAGCCCCGTGTCCGCCTTCGTCAGGCGCTGTACCTGAAACTCGCAGGTGATCTGCCCTGGCTCGATGATGGCTTTGATGAGCTGTGGGCACACACAGGGTGCCATCAGCTCCCTGGCTCAGCTTCCCAGCTCCCTGTGCTGGCCTGGAGCTGCCCAGCAGACTGGCAAGGAAACGCATGCTTTTTGGGGAGCCAGCAACACAGGTTGGGGCTGATGTGTGGGGATGGCAGTGGGCAGAGGGCACGGGGCGGTGGGGAGCAGGCGCCAGGCAGGCAGCGGTACCTTGAGCACAGTGCCGTCAGCCTTGCGCAGCTCCACGCTGTCACTGGCAGGCAGCGGGTTGCCAGTGGCCACGCAGCTGACGATGGGCTCAGAGCCCAGGTTGAACTCCAGCTCTGAGGCCAGTTGGATGATCTGGGGGAATCGGTCTGGCACGGAGAAATTGGTGTTAGGGCTGGCCCCACTCATCCCCAGGCATGAGAAGGAGAGGAACCCCGGTCCCAGCTGTGCTGGGGGGCGGTACTGGGTGCTGTGATCCAGCCCTGATCCCTATCCCACGTGCTGGGCTCAGCAATGCTCTTGGCACAGCTAATCCCAGGGGGTCAGACTAGATGCTCCCCCTGCAGCGCCTTGGTTTCCATAGGGCTGGGGACTATTTCTGCAGGGAAGGGGGGCTGCTGAGCTGGCTGGCAAGACCAGTAGCTGACAGCTCCCCCACAGTGACCGGTGAGGAAGGAGCTGGAGCCCACCTGAGTGTGGGGACAGGAACCTGCCATGGCCTTGCACCTCACCTGACTTCTCGCAGGGCTGCCCGTGCCAGCCTGCGGGGCAGACACAGCCGCTGAGGCCACCCCCGCCCGGTGAGCCGGTTACACCTGCCTCCATTTCGGCAGGCACACCCCAGGGCACAGTCGGGGCCGTAGTATCCCAGCGGACAGGCTGTGGGAAGAGGAGAGCTCGCTGCTACCCCCAGCCACAGCGTGGGGCTGGCACAGCACAGGACTGTGGGGACAGAGCCCATGGGCAGCTGGGGCAGGCAGCAGCACTGCTCAGCCCGTGCCAACTCTCAGACCAGGAGAGATTTGCGTGGGTCCTGGGAGAGGCCCAGGCTGAATGAGCGATACGACGGATGCCCACATCCCCATACCTTGGTTGCAGCGGGAGCCACTCCAGCCTGAGGCGCAGGAGCAGCCGTAGGGATCCGGCAGGCAGAAGCTCAGCCCCCTGCAGCCCTGGGCTCTCTGGCATGTCTCTTGGCAGTTGCGGCCAAACTGGCCTTCCCGGCAGGCTGGAAAAACAAGCGTGCATGGCATGGCACCAGCTAGGGCGCCCCGAGCCCCCTATCTCCACCCCAAGCAGGTACAGAGCTGTGTCCTGCTGACGTGGATGGTCCAGGCCTGCTCCCAAACAGGGGACACCACAGGCAGGGAGGCACTGGGGATGCACACAAAGATTCTGGCTACAGTACCCAGGTCCGGGGGTGCAGCGAGGTCCCCATGCGTGGCCTGGGCACAGCTCCTGCTGCTGGGCAGCTCAGCACCTACCTCGCTCACAGCGGGTGCCCATGAACCCAGGAGGGCAAACGCATTCACCAACATGGTCGTGGCAGACACCACCGTTCAGACAGTCGGGACAGTCTTTTTGGCAGGACGGTCCCCATTTCTTCGCGGGGCAGGCTGCAGAGAGAGCAGAGGGGGCGCAGGGTGGCAGCAAGCTGAGGGACAGGGTACAGCCGCCTGTCCTCGTGTCCCAAGGAGCTTGTTCTCCGCTCACCTCTCACGATCAGGCGGTAGAAGGCGCTCCACAGAGGGCTGTCCCCCATGAATGTGGCGCTGTAGACCCCATTTTCAGTCACGCTCACATTGGGGAGCGTCAGTGTGACAAGGTCACCCCTCACCTCGCCCCGGTCTGTGGTCTGGTAGTAGGTACCTGCAAGGGAAAAGAGAGTGACCCCAGAGCCCCCCTGTGCCCCCAGGGCTGGTGCCAAGCACTGACTGGGAGCAGCCCCAGCCCCATGCTCTTAGGACCACTTGCCATTTCTTTTCCACATAACGTCTGTCTCCTTCCTCTTGAGGACCTTGGCAGAGAAGGTGGCCGGCTCGGCGACGTTCACGGACTGCGTGGCCTTCACTGGGAAGAGGTGAGCTGCAGAGGGAGGAGCAGGAGCAGGCTGAGCAGCAGTCAGCCCCCAGAGCACTCGCACCCAAGGGCAGCGCCAGCACCCCCAGCCCAGCCATCCAGGTGAGGGGAAGCAGGCGTGTGGAGGGATGCACGCCAGCCCACGGGACCGGTGGCCCTGTCATGGCTGTTTTCCTGATTACCCAGCTGTTGGGATGTGCAGCAGCAATGAACTCTCAGGGTGTTAATGTGAGTCAGCCGGAGCCCACAGACGGGGCTATAAATACATTAAGGCCTGGGAAACTAAGCCCTGGGCGTGCCAGTACAGACACAAAGGAGGGCACAGGCCCTGCCAGCTCGCTCACACTAAGAAGTAGCCACGCCAGGCTGGAGCTAAGGCACATCCAGCCCTGCATCCTGCCCCGGAGAGGCCCAGGAAGAAGTGGTACACACCACAGACACCGGGGGAAGACCACCGGAGGTCACATATCCCAGTAATTCCCCACCTTCAGTGGTTTGCAGCGCAGGAGCCTCCCAAGTCAGGTGTTATCCCTCTAGTTGGGACCCTGTGCCACACCACTGGGGCCTTCCCCGCGTGACAAGAAGCACAAATTAACTCCTATTCTTGCTCCTTGTCTTATACTCAGTTATTTGCCTCTACAGAGACCACCTCTGCCACCGCCTGGGTGCAAAGTTGCTCCTAAAGAGCCTCTGAAAGGGAATTTTCTTAATTTTCTGTAGAAACCCGAGCAGACAGCATCGACCGGGTCGCACACAGCATCCTCACCTCTGCCGCTCTGGAGACCCCCCTACTGCAAACTCACTCTGCCTCTACCTTAGGTACCACATAACCACAAATTCTGCTCTTTATTACAGTTTCCACTCATTTGCCTGTTTCCAATTTAGCTTTACAGGCCTGTAACTCCTGACGCAGAAAGCTTTTAGGAAAGGCTGGTGCCCCACAGCAGCCTTGCTGCCCGCTCATACCCCACAGCCCTGCTCATGGCAAGCCTGGCCCGGCAACGCTGTCCTGCTCCACTCAGCTGTTTTGTCACCTCTCTCCTGCTATCAGCGCTGGCATTTGAGACAGCTCCCCACCAAGAAGTTTCCCTGGCTTCTCTATCATGCACATGGATGGAAAAATAAAAGACTTTTGTTTTTCTGCAATGACCTATCTGCGTATTCTAAAAAATAGGTTATTGCCATTTTCGACACTTCTGAAATGGCTCCTCATGACCTTTTTGGTCTGTTTTAGAGTGTTTTTACAGCAAAACTTCCAAAGTTTATCATCCTTCCTGTGTTCTTCTTTGTGCATGACCTTTTGGGAGATGCCAGGTTTCCTCTAGCAGCATTCCCCACCCGCTACCTCATCATCCTGGCTGCTTTTGTGCGCTCTTGGGCCTAACAGGACCCACGACACCCACTGAGCACCCTGCTTGGTTCTGTACCCAGACCTCCCTCCCCCTGCAAAGATGTAATTTTTTTGGGTTACTTTTTCCTTTGATTCATCTTCCTCATTTTTTTCCCTACTTCTCCTTCTCTGAATTAAACAGAGCAACAGCAGCTTGTTTGGCACTTGGAAAAAAAGCCACTTTTTTGGTACTTGCAGCTCCCGCAGGGGCTTAGGTCTGGATGCTGACCAGCCCCCCCACAGTGGTATTTTGGCCTGGTTATGCCATTTTTAGATCCAGCTGGTCCCTGCTCCTTGGGGGATGCTTGGACCCCACCGGCAGCCTCTGTTGCCCAGCTTGGAGATATCATAGATGCTCAAAACAACATGCTGCAGCTGTGTATTAACAGGGGCAGGGAAACTTGTATCCCCTTCATCTCATTCCAGGAAAGTTGACTGTTTCAGCCAAGACTATAAATAAAAGCTAGACAGCATCGTCAAGGAAACACCTATCACAAAAAATCTCAGTACTAATAGTTTACAAAGTCCCAAGCACAGGGGGAGCAGAGATTGTGGGAAGGCAGTTTGGGAGATCACTGCCTTGGGTGTTGTCCCCACTGCTGGCCAGCCTGGGGAGGTACTTTTGGCTTATATGGCCCAAAATGGGAGAAGGAGACAAGACTCATCTGCAGCGCACCCCGGCAGTGCCTCTTGGTGAGACCCCATCGCTGCAGCCCCAGGGAGGCTGCTGGAGATGCTCCTTGGTGCTACCCCCTCCCCATGGGGGTACGAGGCTGGCACAGCTCCCATAGGCTTCCCCCTAACCTGGTTAATGATTTCCAGGCCACATTGCCTCCACAAAAGGTGCCCTGGTTCTTTTTGGACCTTGCCCTGCTCCTGGGCACCGTTCCCAGGCCAACTGGCTGCTTACGCTGCCACCCATCCCCACACACCTCCATGGGGCTCCTCCAGCTGAACACCCTTCTCCTCTCCACCCCACCAGTGCCAGCAGACCCCAAACCTTGCCCATGGGTCATTGCTGCCTCCCCCAGCCACTCACCGTTGTGGCTGTTGGTGCCGGGGCGGTTGTGCACGTAGACCACCTGGGCTTGCTCGGTCGGGGTGCGTCCCAGGCAGTAGAGGATCCCCACCAGGTCGGCCATGGAGAAGCCCCTGGCCTGGACGTGGTTGCTGCGGTTGCGATAGTTTTGGAAGCCCGTCTTGGGGTGTGTCATCACGATCTTGTTCTCCCGCTCAATCTGCAGGTAGCTCACATCGCGCTCCCCCATGACGCAGGAGAGGAAGAAGTCGGAGTGGGACAGGCTCTGCACGTTGGCAATCAGAGTGATGTCCAGGATGGCCCCTGGGGTGGTAGAGCACGAGGGCACATCAAAATTGGACAAGGGCACAGCTGCCTGCCTCAGGGCCAGACCCCATCACCCAGATGTCACCCCCTTTCCAGGCCATTTTTGCCACCCCCAGCCCAGAAGGCACAGCCGGGGCACAGCCAGGTCGGGCGCAGACCCATTGGGATGACACAGTGGGCATTTCCACTCTCTTTTTGGAGAGCCCCACAGGCTCACCCCCTTGACATGAGCCGGTGCAGTAGGGTGGGGGTCCCCAGGCCCCTCTTCTCCCACGAGCTGCCTGCACTCCAGCCCCATGCCGGTGAGAGGCAGGTAGGGGAGGGCACTGCTGGCCCCGATGTCTCCAAATGGCCGATCACAAAGGGATGTTTCCTCCCTCCAAACCCTGCTCTGATGGCGCCACTGAGCTCCCACAGCTGCCTCGTCCCACCAAGCCTCTCTAGGGCAGTGGGTGCTCCCTGGGGCAGAGGAAAAGGGGACATTTACCTGCCAGCCATGGGAGGAGAAGCAGAAGATAAAGCTGGACTCCCATGTCCTTGGAGCGTGTCCCGAATCTGTGACGGGTCAGAAAATCCTCGGCATGTCCCAGCCGCGGGGGTCAGAGCCAGGGGCAGCGACTGCCTAGAGGCTCCACGTGAGCGGTGCCTCAGGATCCCTGCTTCCAGCCCATGCACCCCATCTTGTCTCTGCCCTGCTGTTCGGCGTCCGGGGCAGCCGCCACCACCTCCTCTGGAGCATAGCCTGGGTACAGCGAGGAAGATGTCACCGTCCCCGCGGGCTTGGTGGCCACCCAGCTGCTTGGTAGTGAAGAGGCCACTGAGGTCCCCTGCCTGGTGGCAGCTCTCCCAGGGCTAGAGCTGCATGTCCAGGGCTCCCAAAGCCATGCTGAGCCCCCAGCCTAACTGGGAGGTGTCCTGACCCCCACGCCTTGCCCGCTGTGCAGAGGGTCTCATGTCCCAGCCCGCCTGGGCGGCAGCATCCCCGCTCCCTCAGCGCAGCCTCGTGGCTGCCGGCTGTGGGAAGGGCTCTCTGGAGCAGGGAAAGGAAAGGGGCCAAGGGGCCGTGGCTGGCGGCAGCGGCGGAGCCAAATCCTGTTTCCCATGCGGCGTTTCCTGCTCTCCACCCATTGTTCAGAGACGGCCCTGACTCCAGGAGCTGCCCCAAGCAGGCTCCCACCCCGTCGAGCGGCGTGCGGCGATGCTGAGGCCGGACACACCTTGTGGCAGCGCGGCCTCCCCCCGCCGGAGGTGCCGAGGCACGGCCCCCCAGGGGCTCCACATTGTGCTGGTGTCTGGCTCCAGCCTGCAGCGGCTGTCACAGGGCTGTCCTTTGGGTTGAGAGGAGCTGAGTGGCAGAACAGACAGGGCGATGAAAAACTGGACAACTTGCACAGGAGGTTGGCCACTGCTGGGGGAGAAAACCCTCCATATTGCAGTAAACATATCTGGGAGGAAGCAGAAAGTGACAGAAAGCCTGGCTTTCCCCGAGCACTTTCCCATGCACAGCATGGGCACGGCATGGCCTCACTTTCCTCCCCAGTTTCAGGGGGTCCCACACGCACCCCTCCTGCGAGGCTGCCCCATTCTCCAGTGGATCTGAGGTCTTTCCCTGGCAAACGAAAGACATTTCCCAGGAAATCACTGTAAGCTTCACCCACCAAACCTCACCCACCAAACCTCACACTGCTTCACAAACCAAGCTGTTCCCATGTGAAAGCCAGGGCTGCCAGGGAGCGAGCCTCATGTTTTGGTGTGTCCCAAGCCCACGCCGTATCCGGCCAAAAATCTAAAGCACACATGGAGAGGAAGGGGAAATCCATTCATCGCTTCCGACTATTTACAGCGTGCTCCGAGGCCACGCAGTGCCCATGGCTTGCTGAGCGAGGGATGGCAGTGGCCAGGGGCTCCCCCAGCACAGCCACCCAGCCACCCCACGACAGGAGGGAGGGAGAGATCCCCAAAAAGATGGACACCAGATGCAGCTGCCCCCTGTTTTCCTGGAAAACTAAGCTTAGCTGTGGGCTGTGCATAGGTGAGGGGCCCTGTTTTTGGGAGACCTATGGGGCATTTGAGGCACAGCTGTACTGTAAATGCGGAGCACAAGGCTGTGAGTTATAGTGTGAAATGTCCTCTGACATGAGGGTCGCTTTGGGAATGGGGTTATTTACACAGAACAAAGATGCGTTACTGGAAGGCTTTGCAACTGCAGACCCCTGCCTGAGGGGAACCAGGACGTTGTTTTGCTCTTTTGAGGAATGGGAGTCACCTGGGGTCAGCTTTCCACACCAGGCGATGCCCAGGAGATCTCAGGGATCCATTGAGGGATCTGACCCAAGCTGATTTGTCCCCTTGCATTTTTTCCAAGAATACCTGGATGAGAGGTGTCCATCGGTACAGACCCCTCGAATTGGAGGTGGGGGTGAGAACCTCTCTGGGAGGTTTTGTGGTGAGACCCAACCAGGACCTTACAGCCCCAGCTTAACTTTATGAAGCTGCAGAGGAGGAACCAGGGAGCAGGGTGCAGCTGACCTCAGCCGAAGCAGCCTGCCACACTTGCTCTCTTGTAATATCACAGAATCACAGAATCTTAGGAGTTGAAAGGGACCTGGAAAGCTGATCCAGTGCAACCCCTGCCAGAGCAGGATCACCAGAGCAGTCACACAGGAACATGGCCAGGGCTTTGGGTGTCTCCAGAGAAGGAGACTCCACAACCTCTCTGGGCAGCCTGGGCCATGCTCCATAACCCTCACACTCACAAAGTTTCTCCTCATCTTCAGCTGGAACCTCCTGTGCTCCAGCTTGGGACCATTGCCCCTTGTCCTGGCATTGGCCATCCCAGAGCAGAGCCTGGCTCCTTCCTCCTGACACTGCCCTTTCCCAATGGATCCCCAGGAATGAGGGCACCCCTCAGGCTCCTCTGCTCCAAGCTCAAGAGCCCCAGCTCCCTCAGCCGCTCCTCAGCAGGAGATGCTCCACTCCCTGCAGCATCTCATCTTTGTGGCCCTGCTGGACTCTTTCAAGCAGTTCCTGTCCTTCTTGAGCTGAGGGCCCAGCACTGGACCCAATATTGCAGATGTGGTCTCATCCGCATCTGGATATATGGTAATATGGAAAGCTCCAGCTGCCCAACCCACAGCACACTGAAAGCACCTGAATTTCTGCTGAATTCACAGAACTCAATTTTTTGCTGAATCATGACAGACTTAAAAAAAGCAAAACAAGTGACAAAAATACCCCTTTTTGTTATCATTTACACGTTTTAATGCACGGCACCGCATGCCAGAAACCATAACGCACCGATACGTTTCCTGATAGGAAATGCAAACGCCCTGCAAATTCACTGATGGGCTGGGCTGCCTCAGCGACATTGTCTAGCCCTGCTTTTCTGGCTGCTTGTTTTGTTTGATGTGCATGGCAGGTCCTGGGGAGGTCCTGCAAGGCTGAGTTAAGGGCTGCTGCCACCAGGTGTAAAAGCAGCCTGGGAGCAGGGTGGCCGAGCATCCCCAGCCCGCCCAGTCACATCGGCAGGGCAGTGGGGGAGCAGGCAGATGTCTGCCTATGTGTGTGATCCCTGATGTTCGCAGGATCAAGGACGGGCTGCTGGGAAGTCCTTTCCCCAAGGAAAGGGTGGGACGTGCGCCTGTGGAGGAGACCCTTGGCAGCTGGGGAAAGCGGGGCCGCCCTGTCGGGGCTGCTGCCGGCGTGGAAACTGCAGAGCCACAGCGGTTTCCTGCTGCTAAGTGGGAGTGGGAGTATGGAGTGGGGAGCTGAGAGCGGGGAAGAAAGCTCAGGGCTCTCTCCTGCTGCAGAGGCAAAGCGGCATGGGGCACTGCCAGTGCCTCCCCTGCCTGGGCTGTGGCTCTCCCAGCCCTTGCCTACTCACCCACGCTGGCATCTGTGGGCACAGCAGCACGTCTCACCCAACCGTGTGCCTGCAAACACCCACAAGATGCTGCTTGGCCATGATATCCCAGATTTTCACTGACTCCATGGCAGGGCTGGCGGGGAGCCCTATTGATGAACAGTGGCCCTGTGCAAAGGATGCCAGAGGTGGTGGGGAACCCCTATCCTCTAGGACCTTCAGAGAAGCCCCGAAGGACTAAAAAAGTCACGTTTTTATCAGTGAATCCCTGATGCTGGAAAGACAACGCTGCTGAGGCACTGCTAGGCCCAGAGACCTGCCTGTTTGCTGCATGTTTTAAACACCTTTCCGCTTGAATCGCAGTGAGACTTTTATTTTCCTGTAGGAAACTTTCCTCCTGCCTCAGCCCCAGCTTCTTCAGCCCAGGCTTGCTGCACGCCCATGCCCTGG